TTGGAGGGTTGACAACCTGACCACTTCACTAGGTTGTCACATTTCTATATTTAAAATATTCTATTTTTAATTAACTAATTAAATTTTAAGAAATATATTTTTTAAAAATTAAAGAAGTTTTTATTAAGTAAAGGTTTCTTGGACTACTAATAAAAGTTGTAGAGCTTATTTTTCTAATTCTAATAATGATTAAATAATCAAAATCAGTCTAGTAGATTCCAAGATATTGGGAATCAAAAAAGAGAGCAAAAAGATCTATAAATTGTCAATTACACAAAGTATGGTTTCAATAGAACTTTGTATAACTAGCAATTTGTAGATCTTTTTGCTCTCTTCTTTGATTTCTAATATCTTAAGATCTATCAGGCCAATTTTAATAATTTAATCATCATTAGAATTAGAAAAATAAGCTTTACAACTTTAATTAGAAGTTCAAAAAACCTTTACTTATTAGATTTTAGAATTAGAGTTGATAAAAAAAAAATTTATATTAAAGTTTAAAAGGTTTATATATATTATTATTAAAAAAACTAAAAATAAAAAATCATGTATAACCATAATAAAAATTGTAAAAAATCATAGTAGAAATAGTAGCTCTCTTTTTATATTACAAATATAATCTTTTAGATTTAGATTACAGATTATGTCTTTTATTTTTTATTTTTTTTAGTTAAAATTTCTGCCTTTAAAAATCAATGTTTTATTTATATATTTGATATAAGGGCCTCAGAGGCTTTTTTATATTGGAATTTACAACTAGTCATATATAAGTAGTCTGTTTATATATTATTATACAGTTCTATACTAGATATTATATCTGCAAACTAATTATAAATCTTGCTTATTTAAACTTTTTGCATATATAGTCTATTATGTTATACAGTAATATCTTTAAGACTACACCTATCTAAAGTACCTGATGTTTTTGAGACCCTTAGGACTAGTTTATTCTTAACAGTGAACTTACTAGAATCTTCTGTATTTTACATATAGCTGATTTAGTTTTATGTAACTTGCTATAGTTGTCTAATACTTGCAATTACAGAAGTTACCTATTTAACTGCTATGTTATACTATTTCTACTTTTGTAAAGTTCAATAAAACTTCAGTATCTATCATTATAACATTTTCTTCATCATTTTTTACTAATCACTACTCAGAACTAACAGAACTCTTTTAATTTTTAATCCAGATAGTCTAATTCTAGTAGTCTGATTAGTTATATGCTTTTCTATATATCTTGTTATCTGATTTATCTGCCTATTTCTTTAAGGTATTTTATAGGTTTCTATTAGTTTGATTATATCATTAAAAGTTTATGTTATCTTTTTATTTAAGAATTTCCAAGTAGGCTTTCAACTCTTTAGTTTTTTAGTTTATTATAATCAAAGATTTATTATAAGTTTGTATTAAAACTTTATATAATACTAGTTATATATTCTTTTATGTTCATTTGTTTGAAGCATAACAAAGAACACTATATTATTCTATAAAGGATAATATGCAAGATTTGTTTGTCTAACCACATCATGTGATAATTATTCAATCAAATAGTAACACATATATATAGTATAGTAAATATAATATAATTTGTAATTTAATACTCACTCTAGATATACAATACTATACATTTATTTAGTATAACATTATATTTTATATAGATGCTCTGAGCTTTTATTTAAAATAATACAACTTAAGGTTATAGATATACTAATCTAATCAATTATCAAGAAAAAGTTTGTTATAACATAGGTATAATTTTTTAAATTTTGTCATAAATAGAATTTGAACACTAGACCTGTTATTTAGAAGATAACAATTTGACTACTATACTATAATTGCTATCTTTTCCTTTTATTTTTTATATATAATTTAAAATCTTTATTTGAATTTTAATATACTATTAATATTAAAAAAAAAAAAACTTGATATTTAGTATTAGCATTAATAATTTAGTTTGATATAAGTTTGTAAAAATTGAATATAAGAAGTATATTAAGTTAATAAATTAAGATAAAAAATAGTAAAATTAAGATGTATGAATTTTGGTATTATGTTAATTAAAACTTTTATTTGTCTGTTAATACTATTTAATCTTTTAAGATTTTGATAAAATAGTTTTTTTGTTAAAGATATATTTAATTATTGAATTAATAATAATAATTTGAAAGGATAGTAATCTTAATGTAATAGTTAGATTGTTATTCTTTAAATAGCAAGTTTAATGTTTAAATTTTATTTATAGCAAAATTTGAAAAATTAATCTATATTATAATAATTGTTTTCTATTAATTAGTTAGATTTAAGAATCTGTAACTTTAGATGTACTAAGTCTAGTTCTATCTATTATTAGAAGTTTAGAATATTTATATAAAGTATTATTACAAAGTAGATTATTAGCATAACATAATATATTATATTATTAGTAGTTATTATATATTTATTATTATATTTTATATTATATTTATTATTAATTATTAATATAGTTATATTATAGTATATATTAGTTAGATAATAGGATCTTAATTGGTTGTTAGAAGTGTAATACAGACACATGATATTGAGTAACATCTAGATGTCACTATTGTCTTACAAACCCCAAGTACCTCTATACAAGTTTTATGTATCTAGTACAATTTATTATACTAAATATCACAGTATAAGAATCTCAAATATTTCCAACACAATCTCTAAATATCTCTGCACAATTCCAACTAGTTTTGTACAAACTCAAGTACCTTGACATATGCCTCAAGTGTTTCAAATATAAATGACAAATACACATAAATATTGTCTAACTATCTCTGTACAAACTCTACTTGCCTCTGCACAATCTTCACTACTTTAAGTACAGTATTAAGAAATATTACTTAAATCTCTACTATCTCTACTAGGTAAAAAGATATATAAAAGGTATCTTTTTCTCTTCTTTATTAATTTTAAGTTTTTATACTTCAATTCAGACATAATAGCCTTTTAATTATAAAATATAATATTCCTTCTTTAGAGTAATTTCTATAGACAAAATTGTTATCATATATATTGTTAATAAAAAATTAATCTATATACTATTATTATCTCAAACTATTTGCCTATTACTGTGTAGTAAATAAACTACTACACCTCTATCCTATATATATTTGCAATAGTCAATCATTATACTAGGTGATCTTGTTACTTAGTTGTATTATATCAAAAAGGCTACAATTCTATAATAGTATAATATTATATATATATAAAGAAATATTAATAACCAATATTGTATAAGACTTCAATGTAAATTAAAATAAGATTACCAAATATAGAAGACTAAGAAAACAAGTAACTAAAAACCTATTTAGAAAATTTTCAAGTAAAAAAGATAGTATAAACTTTTTTAATAATATTATTAAACTGGTTAAAGTTTATGAAACATTTTCATAGAAATTGTCAGATAAATTAGATAACAAAAATATATAAAAAAATATATCACCAATCAGATTACTAGAATTACTAAAGAAAAAAGATACTAAGATATATCATATTAGACTATCTAGATTAAAAATCTGAAGAGTTTATTAGTTCTGAATAGAGGATTATAAAGAAGATACTAAAAAGATAGATACTAAGATTCTAGTAAACTTTATAAAAGTAAAAATAATGTAATGTAGTAGTTAAACAAATAACCTCTATAACTACAAATATTAGATAACTATAATATATTATATAAAAGGTTCTGGTTTATTTTACCAAAAATCAGTTCACTGACAGTATGATTCACCAATAGTCAATTTGCTAACAAGTTTATTTTATTAACAATATGATTTATTAATAATACATTTCACTAATAAGTTTTTTTTTATAAACTACACAACCTTAACTTTAATTCTAACCTGACCCTAACAGCAATGATCAGAATTACTTTGTTGATCAAATTACTATTGATAAATCATATTGTTAGTAAAATAAAATTTTTAGTAAATTGACTATTAATAAATCGTACTGTTGGTAAACTGATTGTTGATGAAATAAACAAAACCTGTATAAAACTAGATCAATATATATAAAACATAACAAACTCTAGTAAATCTTTTGTTAAAAATAAAATAATTCTAAAGATATTGACTAGCATCTGAAACTTAAATAGATGATGTTCTAAAGATGTTTTTATAATACAAAAAAATTACATATGCAAAAAGTTTAAATAGACAAGACCTGTAATTAACTTGCAAGTATAACATCTAATATAGAATCTGTATAGTAATATATAGGCAAACTACTTAAATTAGACACCAAAAAGTACATGTAACTAATTGTAATCTCCAATGTAAAAAGACCTCTAGAAGCACCTATGTCTTACAAAAACTTAAATAAAATATTATTCTTCAAAGATAAGAACTTTAATTCAAATACTAATTTGAATTTTATATTAAATAGTTTTGAAAAATTCAGTAATTTGAATAAAAAGAAAAGTTGTATTAATAATAAGATTAAAAAAAACTTAATTAACAAAAATTTTCTATTACTCTTTGTTAATTACTTTATAATTAAAAATTCTTTACCAAGTTTAAGTTAAATATCTGTTTCTGTTTGTGAAGATATAAAAAAATATTTAAGAAAATAAAATTTTATAATTACTTTAAATGCAATTTTCTGTATCATCTAAATAGAATGAATTAAAATATTTAAATAAAGGAAAATAAACTTAAATATAATCAATAATACTATAATATCTACTATGCCAAGCCAAATAGATTAAGAAATATTTGTATAATCTGCTAGGTTATATATACTATATTATAGGAATTGTAATAGTTTGTATTTTATAAACAATAAATAGAAAATTCATACTAACTTCACATAATTTTGTTTTTCATTATGCAAAGAAGTCATTACGTACATATGTACGATGTACTATTTTATACTGTATTGAACTCAGATAATTTCTACTATAGCTATAGGCTAATAGACTGAATTACTATTTTTGTTTTTTTAAACATTAAGTGGCTGAATATATTTGGTCACCAATTTAGCAAATCATTGAGTGAAATCCTAGAATTACTACGTTCCTCATCTTTACGATCCTCGTAATCTTCAGGATCTTCTCTTTCTTCTTCATAATCCATTGCTTCAATGTCCTCATCATCTTCCTCCTCAAAATCGGTATCACCTAGTAATTGTAAGCATTGCGTAAGGATTGCTCGGTTCTCGGCTTCTGGCGACTGAATTCTATAAATTGATGTGATCAAGTTATTTAAGTGTGAATTAACAATGAAAAAATTAGCATAAACAAATTACCGTAAGTCTTGCAAATTCTCAATTACTTTTTCCCGAAGCGATATATAACAAAACATATCAGTAATCCTTGATATTTGCTGAATACTTGGAAGAGCATAAATAAAAGAAAGTATATGAACATTTGCTATGACATATATAACTAACTGTTGGGAACAAAAATTATGGCAATAAACTTACACCGTTGTTAACTTGGCGGTCTCATTTGGCAAATTTGCGACGTATCTTTGGATTTTGTTCAACATCGACTATTGAAATGATAGATTGATATGTCGTAAATTTTAACTTAAACGGCCGTTGAATTTTTATACCGTAATTTGCTACATAACACCCAGGGTCAAAACTTATTCAGTAACTTATTTAGACCCCCGAGTCCTGCAAAGAAGAGGTCTACTATCAAGGGTCTTGTATAGAAATACATAAGACCAATAATAACTCGGGTTTATGCTTTACACATTTTACCAAATCCAAGCTGTAGACCCAGATCTACTATAAAATGGGGTTTATGTGGAAAATTATGGTACATCAAATCCCTTTAAAATACCTCAATAAGTTCTGTTTTAGGTAATTCGATGTTGTTAGATAAATAGCTTTTTGGTTGTGTATTTATAGGCATCGGTGATGGTGTCATCAAATTTTTTGCACTTTCATGTGAATACATCGTAAAATAGAAATCTATTCAATTACCGGTTTAAAAATGTAAAAGTTTATAATGACCAATGTTAGAATAGCAACACGTATTATTAAATTCAAATAAACATACATGATTCAGAAGATGATGCTTCCATTGTGGCATAGGTGTTGTTTTGCAACCAAACGATTGCTACCCGATTTTCTTTTCTTAGTGATGAACTTAAGACGTGAAAATATTCATTATTACACTATTAAAGTATCATAAGGTTAATTCGTTAATATTATTGATTTAAGTAGAGTTAATTTAATATCATACCCCATTTTCATTAATTTCATCATTCAAAAACATCCAAAAGCGTAGATAAGTAGACTCCCCTCGGAGTGATTCTTTTGGCTTAAATCCCACAACAGACATAATTTTTATCGATTGTTGTACTTTAATCAAAATATAAAATCAATTAATAAAAGAATGCTACGATTAGTTGGACTTGATTAATAAATAATTACCATCATCATCAACATGGATAATAGGATATATGTGTATTGACATGGTTATTTTTCCAAGTGAGAGGATACCCTTACAGGGTAAAACTTTATAAATAAATCATTAAATTAAAGGGAATATAATTATATAATAAATTAAAGACGAAATGATTTAGAGCCTTTGCCTTTAAAATCAAAATTTGAACATATATATTATTAACATTTCACAAGACCATTTTCAAGGCAAGACCCAATATACACATTTGATCATGCAAAGCAAGGATACGGTATTTTTCGGCAATCACGTTAATAGCATCCGTAATTTTATATGCAGTATGGGGATACAATAAGAAATAAAAGGCACCTTCTCTTTCGAGAGTAAATTCACCTTTAGGGTGATTTTTGGTAACTCTGGACGGCAAATGTCTGTTCAAAAGTTTTTTATACCGTTGTAATGTACAGTCAATTTGCTTTGAATGATCATCTTTACTAACTTCATCCGCTAAGCAAATAATGTGAAGCCGCCAAAGAGGATTATGAAATTTAGCTGCATAGGACTCTGAATTTTGAGTGAAATCCGGATCTACATATATAAATGTACATATATCATGTAAAAATCTGTAATGTTATTTTCGGAAAATACTATTGTACCTTGTGGTATTCGACCATCTGTAATTACAATAAATTGACACGTCTGACTTGAACCGAACTTTTCAGTTACATAATGTTCAGTGAATTCCAAGGCCACTTGTATTTCCCCAGGAGGATCGTCCGAGTGAAATTCCAAACTATTTAGAAATATAAAATTTTTAACGTGTTATTTAATCGATGAATGAACACAATTGGATAACATACTTAGTTAATGTTTCAGTTAATAGAATATGATCATTAGTAAATTCTTGTAGAATTTTGCAGTTCGAAGCAAACGTGACACATGAAATTGTTTGCCACGAGCAAAGTTTTAAAAAATGGATTATTCCTAAAGTAAAATATGATTCTAGTACCTTAGAAGATTTAATAGTGCTGGTTCTATAATTCGTATCAGAGTTGGCAATTGGACAATTTGTACATATAAGCATTGCCGTCCCTGCTCGTAATACCTGTTATAGCGCACTTTAACTTTGAATCAAGTTGATTCGCTGGTGCCAACATCGCCTTTGATACGTCCAAAAGAATAACTATCACTTCAGGGAATGACATTTTGGTGAAATACGTAGTAGATCAAAAATGTTGAGATTCAGAGAAGCTCAGGTTTGTCACATGGTTGATATCCATATATAAATCGTAACAATAACTGTATCAAAAAAGTAATTCTAACTTTTAACACGGTTAATTTATTCTTGCAATTTAGTTATCTAGTTGTTAATTTATTAATTGATTGTCAATGCATTATAACTAATTCTTTGAACTCATATCAAAATTTCTTTTAGTTATATAAATAGTTAAGAAATATTAGAAAAAAAAATCAAATTTCAAGTTTTCAAAAAACCCATATGACAAATTAAAAAGTATATTTTTTTAATCTTTTTTTTTTTTTTTTTTTTTAAACCTTAAGCAGTTACACTAGTACTTTATTAAGATTCTTGAAACTATATATCTATACAATTACATAGAATTTTCCAATATCTAAGTTTAGCATCACTTAGCCATCCTAATGGTATTTAAGTGCAACCTGTTGCACTATCTTAGTTAAAGATAGACTGCTCATCTAACTACTTAAAGTCATACTAGAAGGGTCTTCTCTCTTTCATGATAAGCATATTAATTGTCTTCAAGGTTTCTTTCTTTATTTGTTTTTCTTTTTCTGCTTTCTTTTCTTTTTCTTCTTTTTTTGTTTATTTATCTTTCTTTGTTCTCTTCTTTGTTTTTTTTTTTGCATGAGTATCTTTTTTCATTTTGTTCATTATATTGATCTTTTTTTTTCAGGTTTGTATTTTTTCACATCATACTCTCCATACTTGATCATAAAAAGTGTTCTATACTGTTCTTGTTACTATATTTATACATTTTTGTGTTGCTTGCTTGTTTAGAAGTTACTCAAGTCTTTTCTCTACTTTTAATATTGAGTTTTTTTATTAGCATTTTTTTGGTTGTAATTTTTTCAGTTTGTTTTTTCAAATAATACCTTATATAGAACTTATAATAGTATTCTGTTTTTTTTTTCTTTTTTAAGTCCATTTCATACTGTTATTATTGTAATTTTTTGAATCCATTTCCATAGACTCTTTTGTCTATTACAATTTGCTAAATATGCTTGAGTCTCTTTTTTTTTAACTTGGCATACTTGGCACTCTGTTGTTGTATACATTTCTGGTCTTCTTCTATTTAATTCCTTAAATATTGGCAGATTATTTATTATGCACTTTATTGTTATAACTCTTTTTATACTGAGTTTTCTTGATATACAATACACTCCTTTTGTTCTGTTCATTTCTTTACAAAAACTTAATCAATTTTGTAACATAATTTCTGTTTCTGGTTTTAATACTTATATTGGATTTGTCTCTTTCCAATTAGCTCCTATTCTAGCATTTGCTATTATTTTATACAAAAGTCTTATCAGTATATCAATTTTCTTATTTTCTTATTCTAAATAGTACTTTATTCTATTATATTTGATTTATCTGCATATATTTTATCTCAACTTTTTGCTCCTTTCTTTGTAAGAGAGTCTGCTTTGTTATTTTACTTGTTTTTACTATGATTTTTAATCTTGCTTATTTCTATTTTAATGTTCTTACTCTTGATTAGATCTATAATGTTCATTATCTATATTGCATTTTTCTTCTTCAGAGTACTTTCTTCTTTTATTTTTTGAAGTACTTTGTTAATGTTCCTTAATGCTGCAATGCTGTCTATAAATACTTTTATATTTTTCCTTTCTGACACTGTTAGGATTGCTGTCCATATTGCTACTAATTCTGCTATTGTTGTTGAAAGCCAACCTTCAAGTCCTAATATTATTTTTTTTATTTGTACCCAACTGATGCCTATTCATTTTGTATTGTTTTTTTTTTCTTCTTATATAATGCTTTATCAATATAAAAATTGTATTTTCTCTTATCTCTTTTCTTGTTCGTATCAGTATCTCTGCTAACTGATTTGTAATTGTGTTATTTAATTCTTGTTTTCTAATTAGTTCTACTTCTAATTCTTTTGCTTATCTTATTTCTAATAACTTCAATTTATCTCCTTTCCATTCTTTTATTATCTTATCTTCTAGTATTTGCTTCAACATTGCATTTATTTTCTTATTAAGTTTCTTTATTAGCAACTCTAGTATGATTTTTATGTTGTGGTTTCATCTTATTCATTTTTTACACTTGTTTGTTATCTGTTCTAAACTGTTTTCACATCTTCTATATATACTTAATTCTGTTATTGTTCTTCTTTATTCTATATGCATTAACCAATACTCTGCTAGCATTTTTTTCTTTTTCTTCTTAATTACTTTGCCTAATTACTGATTATATTTTGGTCTATGAATGATCCATTCTTTCATTCTTCAGTCTTTAGACATTTTAACTCACTTAATCTTTAATGCTTATATATTGTATCTTTCTACTTTGTAGTAGTCTTGTATTTTTCTGCTCATTTGTGTTCTTAGCATCATTTTTTCTATTTCTCTAAACTATTTAGCCTTCTTTCCTTTACATGACAGATCTTGAAAACTCTTGAACTGTCTTCATGTGATTAGGTTGTTACTTTTCATATCTATGAGTTGGTTCAGATATAATAACTCCTATTCATTTATTGTACTACTACTTGCTATCCATGTTTTTGTTTTTAATATATCTCTTATCTGTTTACTATATTTATAAACTTTCTATAAAGGTTTTTTTAATTTAATATTTATCCCTATTACTTTTGCTTTGGCTATTGTTCAACAGACTAAATTGTTCTTCTAAAACCTTTTGTCTTTTATTTTTTTTTTATTGTCCCAAATGTCCTCTGTTAGGTCTGCTTTCTGGCATTTTTAAGCTATTCTAAGTCTTGTTAGTTTATTCACATTATCTCATCTATTGAGTCTTGAAAAAAGACTACTTATTTGCTTTATTATTATTTTTTAGCTTAGTGTTTTGCAATTTCCTAAGTCTTTGTGCTCTATTGTGCAGTTGTTTGATGTTCTCATCATATTACATTTATGCTTAGCTAAGCATATTAATAGTTGATGAATTTTATTAATCATTTTCTCTAGCATTTTTGTTAGCTATAAGAGATATTCTAGCTTAAAAATTATTACTATATTGTTTATGTATATAATTTAACTTATTGTTATCTTTTTATATCTCAGATTTTTAACTGTTTGACTAACTATTCCTTTTGCTTTCTTGTAGACCAATGCTTCTCTCATTCTGCTATTCAGCCAGATTCCTAATAACCTTACAATTTTGTTTTTGGCTCTTCTTTTATTTTACTATACCTGAATATGATTTCTCTTTCTTTTTCTTTCATTCTTGTATTCATTACTATGAGCTTTGATTTGAATCTATTTATTTTAATATTATTTGCTTTAAAGAACTTTTTTGCAATACTTAGAATTCTTAACATTTGTTCTTTGCTATTTGTAATCCATATTGTATCATCAGCATATGCAATTGCTACTTGTCTATAACTTGCAATGTTATTACTGCATATTCTTTCTATTATTTTTTGTTCTACTATATAGCCTAGTGTTTTATCTTTTTGTATTCTTTCCAATAATGAATCATAGAAAAGACACCAAATTAGTGGTGAAATTACTTCTTCTTGGTCTATTCCATCACCTGTTATTATTTCTTCTGTTAGATTATAAGCTGTGATAACTTTAAGTTGCCATTTGCAAAACAGATTGTTTATATATTTTCTTGTTTTTTGTAAAATTTTGATGCTTTTTAGAGCCCAATCTAGACTTTCTAGTAGAACTAAGTCAAATACCTTTTTTATATCTTGTAACTGTATCCATATCTCTTTGTTTTTTTTTTGTGCCTTCTCCATTATTATGTTTAGTATATGTATTGGTTGCTCTGTTAAGTTATCTGGCAGACCTGTGTAATTTGGTCCTTTAAGTATGTTTCTTTTTGTAAACACTCTGGCTAATTTTCTTGTCACTACTTTTGTAACAAGTTTTCTAAAGGTCTTGATTAATGCTATTGGCTTTATATTGTTTAAGCAGTAGCCCCAATCTACATCTTTTAGGATTAGATATATTTGTGCAATTTTCTACTTCTTTGGTATGCCTTCTTTTTTCAGAATTAGATTCACAAAGTTTCTAAAAATTCTTTGTAATTTTTTCTCTACATGTTTTATCAATGTGTAGCTTATGCCTAATATTCCTAGAACTGTATCTGCTTTAAGCTCTCTAAGTATTTCTTCTCATTTTTTTTCTTTTATTTTTTTTTCTAATTCCTTATATCAGGTTTCATTGATCCAATTTTTTGGATCATATACTCTTTTTTATTCTTTTGCTATTTTGTCAAGCTTAGTTCTTTATTTTTTAAATTGTTTTTTAAAATAAACTGTTAAACCATTTAGGACTGCATTTGGTTTTGATATTAGGTTGACTTCTTTTTTGGTTTGTTATAAATCTGTTTAGAACAATCTTCTTATATGGTTTATTTAGTAAACTTACAATTATTCAATCTTGATCCATTTTAATCATTTTATGTCTTCTGTTTATGTTTTCTTCTATCTGTTTTCTTTATGCTCATTCTTATTCTTTTTTTTTTTCTTTTTATCTATTCTTTGCCAGTTTTTTATATCATTTATCCAAGCTTCTGACTATTGTCTGTGTAATTTTGGCAATGTT